AATTAACAGTTTATCAGTATTGACCAGAATTTTAATATAGTTGCATCCCATTTTCTTACATGAAGAAAATCACTCCACATTTTCACTTTTTACAGGGTTTCCTTTCTCATTGAAAATTACTTGTAATTACATTACATTATGTAAGTGGGTTGTGAGTAGAGTTTCATGTTGACTACAAACTTGATTTAATCTTGCTGGAAAACAAATTCTCAAAGCACACTCATATGTTTATAATGGTAGTAACCTAGAATGCTGTGACAAATCTCTGAGAAATGCTCTTCGTTCCACCATTTGAAAAGCGTTGAGTCGCTTGAATGAGGCATCACACCCATGCTCCATCACTCTCTCAGCAGTCCCTCATTGTTGTGCCTTCTTCCATCTTTCAGTGTCTTTGCACCCTGTTTTAGCACTATGTTATAGCACTTAACCGCCGCTGTTTCTTCTCATCCATTATTGGTCATTTTCTGTTCTCACTATGTCACTCGCAGCCATTATTGTTATCAGTCATCCTCTCCCCACAGGTTTCCTCTCTCTATCTCTCATTTCTGCTCCTCAATGCTCCATCACCTTCTCTTCACCTCGCACAGCCCGCAATTCTTTCTCCTCTGTCTGAGATTTCAGATTCCCCCAAAACACAATGTCTGAAGTTACACTTACTCTTCAAGCATGGGGTGAACTAAAATGTACAATTACAGTAAGTTAACATGATTATTTCTACATTTTTAAAAAAATTATTGAATTATGGTATATTGTTTTCTAATTTTATCATCAAAATAATAATAACAATAATAATACTTTTAAAAAACAAGGATGCATTAAGCTGACAGTAAAGACATTTATAATGTTACAAAATATTTCTGTTTAAATTATTGCTGTTCTTTTGAAGCAGCAAATTAACATATTAGAATGATTTCTGAAGGATCATGTGACGAGTAATGATGCTGAAAATTCAGCTTTGCATCACAGGAATAAATTATGTTTTAAAAATATATTCAAATTAAAAAAAAAACTGTTATTTTAGATTTTAATAATGTTTCACAATATACAATATGTTTGATCAAATAAATTCAGCCTTGGTGAACATAAGAAACTTCTTTCAAAAACATTTAAAAAATCTTACTGACCTCAAACTTTTGAACAGATGTCTACAAATATGAAAATAAAATATATAATATAAATAATTATATTATTTATATTATATACAAAGAGAACAAAAGTAGTAAAACTGTACTGTATGCGTGAATCTGTATGGCTGCTGTATAATAAAGAACCTTGTGCTAGAGAATGGGTGGACACATTAATTTATTGATTGGGATGTTGTAAAAGCTGTGTGTAAAAGTACATGTAGCTTATCTGAAACCTATTAAGTGAACCATTATCGTATTTAGTGGAAGTGATTCAAATGTGGGCCTGTTGCCTCAGTGTACACAAGAGAGAGGAAAACAGATATATAATAGTACATGACATCAGAGATTACATCAAACCTGGTCTGATCCTGCCAGGTTTTACAACACCATGAAGGATGGATTTTATTAGCATTTGTATGGTGCAACATTTTCACATTATTATCCACAGTGCCATTTATAATGCAAACAGATTTGCTACATATAAGTCGATACGAGTGATCAAATGAATCCAAGCAGAGCATGCTGCTCATTTCCTGGCTTGTAAAAGCACAGCAGGATATTTCACATCTAACAAATTGAATCAGCTGAGATTCAAATAATGCATGTAGCATTGCAATAGGAATACAGTTTAATTGATTTACAGTATACAAGCCATAATAGAAGACTGGGGCTAGCTGTCACATTAACAAAAAAAAACAAAACACATAGTTCAGCATTTTTGTTCAAATCTATCTTTATTATACAGCTGAATGCATGCTAGTGTTGATTTACCTGTGTTTTACACTTGTTTAGACCTTAGATCATCCAAGATGTAGATGAGTTAGTTCATTCATCGGAACAGATCTGGAGAAATGTATCATTACATCACTTGTTCACCAAATGATCCTCTACAGTGAATGGGTGCCGTCAGAATGAGAGTCCAAACAGCTGATGAAAACATCACGATAATCCACAAGTAATCCACACCACTCCAGTCCATCGATTAACATCTTGTGAAGTGAAAAGCTGTGTGTTTATAAGAAACAAATACATCATTAAGACTGTTCTTAACTTCAAACAAGTCCTCTGTTTATAATATTGTTTCTCCAGTGAAAAAGCCGTCTAGTCTGAATCAGGAGAGAGATATACATAGATTACAAGCGAAAACAGCCTAAAACAGTTCTAAACAAATATGTTGGTGGATGTTGATGTGAGAGGACAACAGAGGATGGACTTTTTAGCTGGAGGAAGTGTTATTATGGATTATGGACTCGTATTTTGGCCAGAAGCAACAGCTTAATGCTAAAACATTTTAATGGTTGGATCATGTTAATGATGTATTTGTTTTTTTTTACAAACAGACAGCTTCACTTCAAGACATTAACTGATGGACTGGAGTTGTGTGGATTACTTGTGGATTATTGTGATGTTTTTATCAGCTGTTTGGACTCTCATCCTGACGGCACCCATTCACTGCAGAGGATCCATTGGTGATGTAACAAGTGATGTAATAATATTTTTTTTTTTTCTAAATATGTTCTAACGAAGAAACAAACTCATCTACATCTCGGATGGCCTTAGGGCGACCAAATTTTCAGTAATTTTTTTTTTTTTTGGGTGAACTGTTCCTTTAAAATACCTTTACTAAAAAAGGTACAATATAAGACAATTTTCAAGCTAAATATTTAGCAGCATACAAATTGACTGCTTTGTCTCAAAACCTTATAGTTATGAGCCCTAAGTGACAGCTTGCCTCTGGTCTCCCCTATACCGTATATGGTCTCTAGTTGAACAACTGAGAGCTTGTCATATTTCCTTTTGTAGGTTTCAACACCAAGGACAGTGACCATCCTGACAGTTATGCAGTAAACAGGTTTCCACAGTGCAGGAATAAAGCATGTCAAATTGTAACATTTTACTGCTCTCTTAGACATTCCCTTCTATTAATATATAGCACTTTGCATATTTATTTAACTCAACTAGGCCCAGAGTGCAAGAAACTGCTTAGGAGAGCATAAAATCCATGGAGCAAAATGTTAATGAGACCACATTAATATACCAAGTACTCTTAGCCTCCAATGCATGTTTCTTTCAGGCATAAAAACCAAGAATCAGCCAAGGCTTATGTGACTGATGATTGTGACATGTTGTCAAAGTAACGATGCTGTGATTTATCACTGGACGAAACAAATCTGCATACAAAATCGTCCACATCCTGCAAATAATTCAAACAGCATTAATGACTTATACATGAAATCTGTTGCACTTTGCAATTGAAATCTGTTGCAATTATCACGAAAGCTGCTTGATTCACAAATGAATATAAAAACATGAGATCAGAGAGGCGCATCGTATTTCAAGTGCATGTCATGTTAAAGTGGTTGACACATTGACATTATTTGACAGCATCAAGATTTTAGGTTAAAATGTATTTGAGTATACATTCAAGTCATAGTGTATATTTTAGGTGCTGCAACTGGTCACCATTTATCTTAAGCTTTGCAACATTTTATATTCTTTTTGTCTTTAGTATATCATTTTCAATGGCCCTGCACTGTACTTTAAGTTAAATTTATAGTAAAAATAGCTGTGCTTGCCAGAACTATTGTAGTTTTTGTTCATATTTTGAAATATATTTTCTTTTTGTATTTAAATTTTTGTTTTGTCGTATCGTCTTTTGTTTTTATTTTTAGTTATATTTATTTTACTTTTAGTCATTTGTTGTATGTTTTTGCCATTATTATTATTATTATTATTATTATTATTAATTATTTTATTGAACATGTATAGTTTTTATTTTTAGATATTTTAATACTTCAATTTAAGTTTACATTTTATATTTTAGTTCAGTTAATGCTGTCCAAGATAAAACTGGGAAATCTTAAGAAAAAAAAATATATAAAATACAAGTTTTTAATAATGTTATCTATGTGTTATTGTTAGTTTTCAAGTAAGTTATACATGTTTTACAAGTATATTTACTGAGCCATGTTTATCAAGTTTTTCTCAGGGTTACTCCATGGCTGCGTCCGAAAGCTCTAAAATGCTGCCTTCGGAGGCAGCATTCCAAGGCAGGAAGGCAGCAAGGCACGTCCGAATACAAATTCTGCTTCACTTCCTGTCTCCGGAGGTACCTTCTTCTGATCGAATTTTGAAGGCAGCATAGATGTATCTTTCGCTGTCTTTGATATCCCACAATCCCGTGCGTTCCATTCCGTGACGGTTGAGATAAAAAAATAAATAAAGATGGCATCTGAAAGTTGTGTTTGGTGGTCAGTTTGTGTTTAAATGTATGTTTCTGATTAACTTTTTGCACTTTTCATGTTATTTCTAGCGAGAAATCAGTATTATAATAATTAAATATGAATTTAGTTATCATCAAAACTCGTTCTATTTTGTTGCAGATCATTAAACCGTTACCCTGCCTCAGAAGCCTGTCCGAAATCAGTTTCATGAGGTGCCTTCGTGCAAAAACGCTGCCTACAAAGTCATTGCCTCAAGGCAGCGAGGCAGCAAGTCAGCCATGTTTTTCTTCTTCTTCTTCTTCTTCTTCTATTTTTTGGTTCAGTTAACGTTTATTTTACTTCAGGTAATGAAACTGTTTTATTATAGTTTTAGTTATTCATACTTACAAAAATATATGCATGCTTACTCTCGTTTACTGTAAACATACTATTGTTATGCAATTGATAATATTTAAAAAAAAAATCAAATATTTATAATATTTTAAATAATAGTTACATTGCCTCTCCAGCACAAGACACCTGTGCAGACGCGCGCGCGCGTGCCACTGACACCTGCATGCGCGCGCCACCGCTGCGTAATCAGCGTTTGGGTTAGCGCGTGCCGAGAGAGAGAGAGAGAGAGAGAGAGAGAGAGAGAGAGACTGAAAGATACCTAGTGGAGATGTAAGTCGCTGCTGAAGATTCGCAACAAGCAAGTGCTTTAGCGCACATCCCCCTCCCACTGCGCTCGCTCAGAAAAAAAAAAACATGTTTCTCTTTAGCCTGAGATACACAGTGATGTGAATGTCTGTGTGCTGTTGGAAACAGAGCTCTGAGACTGCTTAAAACAGAAAGAATAGCGGAAACAAGAATTCCTCGCGTGCTTGCAGGAGTCGGACGCATAAGCGATCACACGGGATTTCTTCAGACAGCGGTATGTGCTGCTCTATTCCAACCCTCCTCAAGCGATGTGATTTAAATGATTGTCTACTTTTGAATGGTCCGCTGTGAACGTTACCGGGAATTTGGCATGTTTGGGTTGTTTTCTGTATAGCCAAACTGTGATGTATTTCATGCGCAAACTGTTGACAGAACAGTAGATGGTTCACCATGCGCCTCGCATATCACATCGACCTCATCAACTGTAGCGAAATCTATTTGGGTCAATGACGATAAATGTTGTCAGAGATACAAACGGGAAATCTTTAAAATATATAATATAAAACACACGTTTCAAGTTCATAGTAATGCTATCTTTGTGTTCTTTGTGAGTTACTCCATTTGACCTGACCTAACAGTTTATTTATTTTTTTATTTTTTAAAAATATTTGAATATTTCAAAACCTCATAAAACTTGTGAGTGGTTTGTTGTCATGTCACATGACAACAAAATGGCTGCCTGCATATTGGTTACACCAGACTGACTTTAATTTGGCGAACAAACTACTATTTTAAAGAATATCGCTTTACTGCATATTTTTGTTTCCATTTATACATTTAGAAGTCACTTTTATCCAAAACGACTTACAAAAGAGGAACAAAGGCGATTCCAAAGAACCAACATTATTTTAAATATAAAATGCCAGGTTTATTAGACATCTAGAATAGGAAACAAGCTAGAGATGTTTTTTAAACATACAACATGTTTGTTTATGTTTATTACTTTTGGTAACACTTAATTTTAGTGTCCTTGTTATATGTACATACTATAGTAACAACAGTACATTAAGTATAATTACATGCAACTAACCTTAAACCAAATACGAATCCTAACCCTGTAGTAAGTATACATGTTTTTAATTAATTTTACCAGGAATTAAATGTATAAATTCATAAATAACAAGGACACCTTAAAAGTGTAACCTTACTTTTTTTAGCCACCAAAGTGTGAAAAAAAAAATATTTCAGAAATTGAAAAACATGTTACTTATGGATGTGAGATAGACAGCATGGATAGTGTGCTTCACTAAGCATTTTTATATGTATGTTTTTATTCTCCAATAGCTGCAGTCATGGAGTTCTCAAATGATTCCACCGGCTTTGCTGACCCCAGACACTTCCGTCTGTACAACGAGTCCCTGTTCCAGAACAACTTCAGTGCCTTCAACGGGACTGACAGCTTCTTCCCAAGGGGCGTCAAAATCACTATAGCAGTGGTCTACATGATCGTCTGCGTGGTGGGGCTGGTGGGAAACTGCTTGGTCATGTACGTCATCATTAGGTAAGCTGACGGGTCAAAACAGGATGGAATTTTATATATGTGACCCTGGACCACAAAACCAGTCATAAGGGTCTTTTTTTATTGAGATTTATATATCATAAGCTTTCCATTAAAGCTGAATAAATAAGCTTTCCATTGATGTATGGTTTGTTAGGACAATATTTGGCTGAGATACAACTATTTGAAAATCTGGAATCTAAGGGTGCAAAAAAATCTAGGCCTAAATATTGAGAAAAGCACCTTTAATTTGGACCTTGTTGTCCAAATGAAGTCTTTAGCATTGCATATTACTAATCAAAAATAAAGTTTTGAGATATTTACAGTAGGAAAGTTACAAAATATCTTCATGGAACATGACATACTTAATATCCTAATGATTTTTGGCATACAAGAAAAATCGATAATTTTGACCCATACAATGCATTGTTTGCTACTGCTACAAATATACCCGTGCTACTTACGACTGGTTTTGTGGTCCAGGGTCACATATTACCTGATGAATAGAAAACAGGATGGAACTTAATGTATTATTCATAATAAAATGTTTGAGGAGTTGTAGGTTATGGGTTTGGTAATAGTACACTGCACAGTTTATTTGAGAGCCATTCTGCATTCTGACAGCAGACCACAGGGTCATGATCTTCGGCTCAGAGACTTAAGTGTTTATTTGCTGCGGTGGACAGTTCAGTACTCAAAGTGGTCATTCTTTTTTTCTTTTTTTTTCTTTTCTTTTTTATCTTTCCTTTTATTGTCCTACACCGACTCAACCAATGGCATAGATATGGGGCAGGACTTCTTGTTTGACTAGGAAATAATCTAATTTATAAGATAAGTCATAATTTTTGCAGTTCTGTTTGGTGCCATTAATATTTCACAAATTAGGCACTGCACCTTTAAGAGGTGTTAAAGGAACAGTACACCCAAAAATAAAAATTCTGCCCAAACCTGCATAACTTTCAGTCAGGTTTCTGTAGTAAAAACTCCATATGGAAATAGATTTTGTGATAATCCATTAAAGACAGACCTTTTGTGAGCTCTGAGGTTGTTAATCGATGGTATATGATTTCATTGAAGCCATCTGTTTGCATTAATTCACCTTGTTTTTAAAATAACCATGTTATGTTAATAGTAATAAAATAGTAATAAAATGCCACCAATCAGAGTCGCAGTGATCAGAGCGCACCAAAAGGACTCCATCCACGCCCATGAAGCAGCAAAAATGATCTAACTGTCAAAATACTTTAATAGTTGTGTATACTGTATATATGTATATTTTGCAATAGACTCAAAATATATAGTTTCTGTCGACACAGTCAACAGCTGTAAATAATTAGTTTTATATTTCACCATCACTGTTATGTCATTTGCAGTGCTTCATGTAATTGTAGTTCTTTCCTTCATTACAGCCGTTAACTACACAGTTTTGTATATTTGCCTGATTTTCAAATGTTGCTTTGTCTCAGATACAAAGTTTGTAATGTTGTGATTCACCTCATAGCTGGTTGGTTTAGTGCAGAACACCAAAATGTTGGTCCATACAATGAAAGTCAGTGGGGTCCAGTATTATTTGGACCCATTGACTTTCATTGTATGGACAAAAATGGTTTTCAAAATATCTCCTTTTGACCTGAAGGCAAATAAATACTTTTTTTTGGATGAACTATCCCTTTAAAGCAATTGAGAGCCAGCAGACAACATTTAACCCCCACTGTACTGCAGCAGAGTTTCCCAATGCACAACTATCTCACCCAGCAGGCTTTGATCGCTAAATGTTGCTTTGTCTCAGATAAAAAGTTTGTAATGTTGTGATTCACCTCATAGCTGGTTGGTTTAGTGCAGAACACCAAAATGTTGGTCCATACAATGAAAGTCAATGGGGTCCAGTATTATTTGGACCCATTGACTTTCATTGTATGGACAAAAATGGTTTTCAAAATATCTCCTTTTGACCTGAAGGCAAATAAATACTTTTTTTTGGATGAACTATCCCTTTAAAGCAATTGAGAGCCAGCAGACAACATTTAACCCCCACTGTACTGCAGCAGAGTTTCCCAATGCACAACTATCTCACCCAGCAGGCTTTGATCGCTATCGACAGCTCGGTGGGCCTAGAGATGTGAAATTAATTTTCACCCTCCATCCTCACTCTTTCTGTTTGTTTACATGCTTCCTCTCAGTTACCTCATCTTTCCACACCCTCATCCCCCTCATCCCCCACCTCACCCCTTTCTCTCTCCAATCCTGTGTTGTTTTACAAAATGTATGTAATTTGGTCCTGGAGTTTCACTGTACGAGCGAAAGCTACAATGATGGGTAAAAAAATCTGTATCATAACTAATCATGGCACTTTGCCTTTCTTTTCCCAATTCTGGGCTTTCGTGTTTACCCCGTTTTCTCGTCTCATGAACCATCTGGAAGTACAAAGACCTTTTTTTTGCATCACTCCTTCACAGTTTATTACAGTTTTTGCTTTTTTGTTTATACTGTAGATGCCAGAAACTAGTTTTTAGTAATTATTATCGATGGTTTCAACATGTTAATACTTGTATGCCAACACACTGCAAGCTAAACAGACAGAGTACAGATAGATCTACCCACAGTCCTTTGGATTTCATGGCAAGGTCACATATGTAGCCAATTTAATACCATTTGGTTTCGGACATCTAGGCTCCAAAATCCAAAGGCAGCTGCTTTGCCGTTTCATTGCCCAGTCAGTGCATTAACAGGCGGCGTTTTGTATGAAGACACCTTTTAAGAAATCTGGTTCCAGTCTGCTCCATGTGGTCATGTCTAATGATCTAGAACAAATTCAAATGATTATTTTAGAGCAGATACACTCTTAAAATAAAGGTTCTTTATTGGCATCTATGGTTCAATGAATAATCTTTAATATCCACAGAAATGTTCATTTCCACTAAAGATACTTTCTAGAGGAAAGCGTTTTTTTTAGACTTTTAAAATGTTCTTCACACTAAGAAAAAATAGTTATTTTAAGAACTGTTCACTGAGAGGTTATTTGGGGAATCTAAAATGTCTCTGCTATGGCATCCCTGCTGGAAACCTTATTTTTAAGAGTGTATAGAATCATAAGCTGAAAAGATAAAAAAAAAAATAGACATTTTAAAATCTTTTACTTCTTTCAACCACTTCATCAGATGCCATTTTTATTATTTTAACCATGAGCACACAAAGGATTGTGGGATATATTATAGGCAGTGAAGTAACAGGATGTTATGCCAAATTCGATTTCAGACCTGTCATAAGTGATAGTTCTCCCAAGAATGATTATTCTGTCATCATTTACTCACCATCATATTGTTCCAAACCTGTATGCCTTTGTTGTTTCTGTGGAACATAAAAGAAGATACTTTGAGAGATGTCTCATTGTGTTTTTCTTTTATATATATACAATGGAAGTCAATGGCTACCAAAATGGTTTGGTTACCAACATTCTTCAAAATATCTTCTTTTATATTTCACATAAGAAAAAAAAAAAAAAAGACAGAATTTTCATTTGTCACCTCTGTACTGCTCAAGAGGGCAGCATCATTTTGGTTTTATATACAGACGTGGCCTGAACTGTCCATCTGGTTGTGTCTGGTTGTCCCATAATGATATTGTACCGCACATGGTGCATAGTGATGTTCCAGAGGCTAATCATCGGGCAGCCTAGGTTTCCTGTTCTGTGCTGAGTCTTTAGGCTTTCACCCACTCAGGCCCAGCTCACCCACCTTCTCCATCTGCCAGCATGTGTGGAGGCCACAAATGTGTTTACCTTCCCTCCCTCACTGAGGGAAAGTGTATGATTATGAGTCTGATGTATCACTGCTTTTGCTTGGATGAGTGCCGTTGATGATTTCAGCTGTGAAGGTTGTGACGTTCTCTCACTGTTCATTCTCTCATAATGTATTGTTTTGTCTCCTCCTTGCACATTCTGTCGTGTGAATCAATCATGTGTTGATGTGTAGGAATGTGGATGTAAGCGGTTTACTTCTGCCATGCTGTTCTTTCCCTCTTTAAGAGAAGAGTTTTCCTGCCAGACCAGCACTTTCACCAATCTCAGCCAATCAGAAGCTTCAACCCACTGGCAGGATGAAACCGTATATGCATCATTCTAATCAGTTTGTGTTGTTCTGGTCTAAATGCTGAGTCAATCCACTCTCTAAAAGCAGTCGTTCCTGGAATGCTTGAGCAATTTCCATGAGTTTCATCTCTGTTTGTGTCTAGGTTGTCTGATGACATTGACTAGTGTCTTTTTACAGTTAAAACAGATTGAAGTGTCAGATGTTTGAGGAAGTAACTGGATGGCTGGTTATTTCATGAGTGTCTTGGTGTAAGGGATGATGAAATTTAAATGATGGAAGATGTTACCCTATCCATCCATTTGTCTAGCTGACCATCTTTCTTCCTGACTGTCTATCCATCCATACTTCCATTTCTTTGTCATTCATCCATTTGCCTGTCTGCCTGTCCACCCATTCACCTTTCTGCCCATCAATCCAGCTATTTTTCCATTCATTGTTCCAGAGATCCATTCATTTTTGGGTTGTCTATCTGTGTACTTCCATATATCCATCCATCCATCCATTCTTCCATCTGTGCATCCATTCGTCTATCTGTCCATCCATTCAGGTATCCGTTCATCTGTTCTTCCATGAATCCCCCCATTCATCCATCTGTCCTTCCATGGGTTGTCTGTCTATCCATCCATCTGTTTGTCTGTCTGCCTGTCCATCCATCCATCACTTAACTTTTTTATCTATCAATTTATCAACCATCACTTCTTAACCCATCCATTCATCCATCCATCCATCCATCAATCACTTATTATCCCATCAATGGGTTATCTGTCTATCTAGGTGCATACATCAATCCATCCATCCACCCTTCCGTCTGTTCATTCATCTATCCATATGTCAATCCATCCATTGGTTGGGTGTCTACATCCATCCATAGGTTTGCTATCCTGTTTGTCCGTCCATCCATCCATGTGCTTCTGT